TCACTGTATTTGAGCTCAGACTTTCCTGTTAAAAACTAGAATTGAAGAGTGTTTTTAACTTGTCCTATCAACTGCAACAAGTGCTGTAGACACATAAAAATGAACGTGTGTTGACTCGACACTCGTAACTAGAGCCCGACCAATATGGAAATTTTGGCTATCGCCAATACCACTATTGGGAGGGTAAGGCGACTGCAGATAACCGATATAATGGCTGAAAATTTTGGAGCTTTGCTTAGCTAAACATAACCCCAAGAATCTAAGAAAACAGCAAGTGGAGCGAGGCTTCTTTATTTAGTGCGGCTGTTAGCAACCATGAAGCTAAGCTAATCAGATCCATGCTATATGTAGACCCACATTAGGTTTACAACTGGTGCACTGGTCATAAAAACTGTCTTCCTAACCATCGTTCACATTTTCTATCATCCACTATTCACCATAAAGTTATCAAGTGTGTTACAAAATATAAATCAAACAAAGAAACACCCTTCTCTTTTCATTGTTTAAGCAGTCAGTCACATATGGTGAAGGTCTAATTAGTATTGACCATAGCAGAGTTTTTTTTTTTTTAAAGATTTCAGTCAAACAATGCATTTCACTGAAGATGACAAAGATAATTTTACTAACACTGATTTATATTTACCTCTATGTTAGATTTATTGTTCTGAATAAAGTTTTACAAGGCAATAGGCTATGCTAGGCTATCAAAACATTAGCTTGCTAACTTGAGAGCCACGTAGCTAATGACAAGCAGGTTGGAGGTTTGAAGAAAATTTATTATTGTTGATTTGTTTTACAGATCAGTTCAAATAAACTTATCATGTTCTGTTCAGCAAAATACGCCACACAGTAGTAGTAGTATCCCTGCTTCGTCTGTGCTGAATGTGAAAGTAAAACTTAAGTGAATGACCATGGCTTGAGTAGTCTTCATGCGCCCTCTGCTGGATACATTGTACAATTACGGCTGGTTCCAGCATTTTACCATACCATACCAAGCCATTTTATTTATAGAGCGCTTAAAACAGCAACAAGGCCAACCAAAGTGCTGTACAGACAGAACAACAGACAACACACAAAGCAATATACAAAATGAGGTAAATCAGAATATAGACATAAAAACGATGCAGATAATAAATATGACAACTAACCAGTGTGGAGCATACAGGTTCAAAACACAGATCATCTGGTGTTGAAAGCTACTGAATAGTAGTGGGTTTTTAAACGGGACTTGAAAACCAAGAGGGAGGGGGCCTGTCTGACAAGCAGAGGCAACTCATTCCAAAG